GTTTCCCCTCGCGGGCCAATCCGCTTCGCCCTAACTCCGCAGCAGCCAATAAGAGGAGCGCTTGTTGCGAGGCGCCGAAGGGGAAGGGCCGGATGACCATGGAGAAGCCGTCGGTCGCGCCGGCCGCCCGGCGGAACCCACGTGACCCGTTCAGGCGAGGCGGACGGCCGATCTCTCCCTTCGCTTGCACGAAGGGCAGGCAGAAGCAATCGAAGCCAGAGAAAGGCTTCTCTGTCTCTCCCGAGCGACCCCTTCGCAAGTGCTGCTGGGGGCTGTAGTTCAATTGTAGGCAATTTTCAATAGGCCGCACTGATAGCCAGTCGGCCACACCTCTGAAATTATTGGGCAATGGATTGCATTTCAGATTTTGGAAGCCTTGCTCCTGTCTTGTCTTCCATAGGCAGTGGCTGGGGATGATGGGAATGATAGCAGTGTTCCAGTACTTGAGAGGCTGCCACAAATGCAGTGTGTGAATCCAGACAACAGATAATTAAGAGTTGGAAGGGACCTTGTAGGTCATCTAGTCCAACCTCCTGCCCAAGCAAGAGGCCCTACCTACACCATTTCTGACAAATGAGAATCCAATCTCTTCTTGAAAGTCTCAAGTGATGAAGCTCCCACAACTTCCGAGGGCAACTTCTGTTCCATGGGTTGATTGTTCTCACTGTCAGAAAGTTTCTCCTTATTTCCAGGTTGAATCTCTCCTGGTTCAGTTTCCATCCACTATTCCTTGTCTGGCCTTCGGGGGCTTTGGGAAATAACTTGACCGCTTCCTCCCTGTGGCAGCCCCTCAAATATTGGAAGATGCTCTCCTGTCTCCCCTGGTCCTTTTGTCCATTAAAATCAGATTAAAGTCAGATTAACAGAGGCAGAAGGGACCTTGTAGGACATCTAGTCCAACCTCTCCCCACCACTAAAGCAGGAGACCCTACACCATTTCTGACAGATGGCAGTCCAATATCATCTTGAAAGCCTCCAGCTTGGAAAATAGCTTGACCCCTTCCTCCTCTCTGTGGCAACCCCTCAAATATTGGAAGACTGCTCTCCTGTCTCCCCTGGTCCTTCTCTTCCCTAGACTAGCCAGGCCCAGTTCCTGCAACCGTTCATTGTATGTTTTAGCCTCTAGTCCCCTCATCATCCTGGTCGCTCTTCTCTCTACTTTTTCTAGAGTCTCAACATCTTTTTTATAACGTGGGTTTATAAAATAGGTTTAAGTACCTGCAGCAATCCCCCCCCCCAAAAGAAAAATCTTTACCAATAGAAGAAAATAGATAAGTAGATACTGCAGGTAATCCTTGATTTACAACAATCCATTTAGTGACCGTTCAAAGTCAGAACGGCACTGGAAAAAGTGACTTATGACCACTTTTCAGACTTACGACCGTTGCAGCATCCCCATGGTCACGTGATTTACATTCGGATGCTTGACAGCCAACTCACATTTATGATGGTTACAGTGTCCGGGGGAGGATGTCGTGTGATCCCCTTTTGTGACCTTCTGACGAGAAAAACCAACGGGGAAGTCGGATTCACTTCACAACTGGGTTAGTAATTTAAGAACTGCAGGGATTCACTTAACCCAGGGGTCGCCAACCTTTTGGACCTCAGGGACCACCAAACTCATAATTTTAAATCCCGCGGACCAGAGACCCTGGGAACATCCCCCAAAAAAGTCTGCTGGCAAATCCCCCACCCCGTTTTCCGACTGATTGATCGTTCTTTATTTGGGATTGCAGGATACCGTCTCCAGCTCCGTTCGCAGGGGGAGTGGGGGAGAGAGAGAGACTTTTGGCTTCATGCAAGGAAAGCAGCAGAAGCAGCCGAAGTCTTTCTTTCTCTCCCCCAAACTCCGCCAGAAATGAGTCTTTGCAGCCTCTTGGAGCTGGAGACCTGGCAGGGTCCCAAAGACTCATTTCTGGCAGAGTTTGGGGGAGAGAAAAAAAGACTTTGGCGTGGGGCATGTGGGGCAAGTCCCCCCCCCCCCTCCGCCCTTTCCCCCCTCCCCTCACTACCTCGTGTTGTTCACAATGCAAGCCTTGTGTTCCCGTGGGCCATGTGGACGGCACAGCCTTGTGTTCCTGCGTAGCCTGGATTAATTGCTTTGGGAGGGACATTTCTCTCCGGACCACCAAAATTTTCTCACGGACCACCAGTGGTCCCCACAGCCCACTAGTTGGTGACCACTGACTTTACCAACGTGGGAAGAAAAGTTGGAATAAAATGGGGCAAAACTTACTTAACAAATTTCTCGCTTCACAACATAACATTTTAGGCTCAATTGTGGTCGTAAGTTCAGGGCTCCCTGTATTATCAATGTATATCCTTTGTTGGGTAAACGAAATGTCTACAAGAAAACAACTAAGATCGGAGAGCATCAAGGACCTCACAGCCCAAAATTGGAAAAGTGAAGAGATTCCTACGGATGAAAACGTGATTAGAAAAATATTAGAATGGTCAGAAATGAATAGATTAACACTTGCAATTAAAGAGAAGGAGCAAACTGAACATTATAAGATATGGGAACTATTTTATCGATGGCTAGAGAAAAAAATATGAAAGCTAGAAATAGCTAATAGATTAGTGAAACATAGAAAATAGGTTTATAGAATTAAACATGTTAAGAAGAGGAGTGTTATAGTAAGAGAGATATTATGTATATTAATAAGGTAACCAATCGTCCTCCTTTAGGGAGGACAGTCCTCCTTTTGTAAGTTCTGTCCTCTCTCGAAAAGTGTCCTCCTACATGTCCTCCTTTTTGATATTTGAAGACTAATCTGTAAATCTCTGTATTTGATTGATGCCGATCCGATCCGTGTTTTTTTTGATGTGACGTATTTGTATTTGACATGACGATTCATCAAGGCTCAGTACAGTACGGCAAGACGCGATTATGAGACGCATGCGCTCCACACAGGAGAATTGTTTTGAGAGAGTGTGCCGCTCGCAAGTGGCTTTGTTTTTTTTCTTTAATTTATTTATGTCCTCCATTGTAAAAAAGTTGGTCACCTTAATATTAATAAGATGATACAAAAGTAATGAACATGGATGTACATTTTAATTGTCATTGCGCAAGATATTTGTACCCAGATGACACACCGTTAAACGGAAAATCAATTGTATCTACTTTAAATAAAATTTTAACAAATTTACAAAAAAAAAAAAAGGATCCCACAGAAATATACTTTCTTAATCAGACTCCCTTTTTGGGATCCTTGAACTGACCAAGCCAGAAGCTGAAGCTTCCTTGCTCAGGAAGTGGTATTGCCTATTTTAGATCAAAGCAAAAGCATCACCTCTTAAATTTGTGCAAAGTGTCTTCTTCGTCTGATGCTGTTTCGTTTCAACACACAACAGATGTTTCAGGGACTTATAGCTTCCAGGAGAGGTGCTGAAAAGCTTCAGACCATTCATTCGTTTAATTTAAATGGCAGAACAATATATAATCAAAAGGAAAAAACAAATTATATTAACAACAAAAATGCAGATGGAAGGACAGAAGTTTGGTGGCGTCCTTGGTGCTCTCTGAGCTTGGTGGGGTTTTTTTTGCAGACATTTCGTGACCCAACTATCATCAATGCTGGAAGGGAGGAGGAAGAGAAGTGGGGAAGGTGGAGGACAAGGAGAGAAGTGATAGGACGAGGTGGAGAAGGAGGAAGAGGAATGACTGTGGGATCCTTGGTGCTTTCTGAGTTCTTTTCTTGCAAAATAATATATAATAAAGGTTTCATGACCCAATTAGGCTTACCATTCACAAAATGTACAATTAAAATTGGGGGGTTGAACTAGATGACCTACAAGGTCCCTTCCAACTTCGATTATCTGAATCTGGAAATTGTAAAAGCATTTTTAAACAATTTAAAAAAGATTTTTATTGCTTTAAAATGTTGTTATAGTTCCAACAGTAGAATACTTTTCAAATGTTAATCTGCCCATTGTAGTATATGCAGTATATATGAATGGTAAACCATGAATTGAGATGGACAGCTATAGAATAGAATAGAATACTTTATTGGCCAAGTGTGATTGGACACACAAGGAATTTGTCTTGGTGTAAATGCTCTCAATGTCCATAAAAGAAAAGATACATTCATCAAGAGTCAAGAATCATCAGGTACAACAATTAATGATAGTCATAGGGTACAATAAGCAATCAAATCATACTAGGAAACAGTCCATATACATTATAAGATACAAGCAACAAAGTTACAGTCATACAGTCACAAGTGGGAGGGGATGGGCGATAAGGACCCTACCCTAACCCATTTCATGTATTCATAACTATGTATATACTTATACCTATTATCTTGTAAGCAATTGACAAATCAAAATAAATAAATAAAGTAATGTCAGTGCAGACTTTGTAATAATTGAACAGTGTTGAGGGAATTATTTGTTGTTTTTTAATTAAATTAATGAAACAAAATCATTAACATTAACCCAAAAATAGATAAAGGTTTTTGTATTTGCTCAATGAGGGAGGGTTTTTTTTTGTCACTTTTTAATCCGTTCTGTTCTTTCCCTCCCCCTTCATCCCTTTTTTATATGAGTTTGCAGGTTTGAAGGTTTATGAAGTAGAATAAAAATATTTGCCAAAAAAAGAAAGAAAAAAAAGGAATGGCTTGTTCTGAACCAGGGGCTTGCTACCAGGTATATGAATCTCAGAAATTCATTGGCAGGGCTGAAAAAGGTTGCCAACGTACAATGTACAATCCGGTGCATTGGTGGATCAACCAAATTGGAGGGTTTTTTTTCCCCAGTCTGTAGCCCCACCCCTTCATTTCTAGCCCCAGGCATTGTTTTATAAGGGGGCAGAAAGGGAGACTTGCATTCAATCTATAGCCCCCTTCCTCATTTGCAGCCCCAGCATTGTTGCGTAAGGGGACTGGCAGGGACGGCTGAATGAAGCAGTTGAGCCAGGTAGGAACAAAGATGCCCCGGAACTTCCGTTTCCGGTCTTCGGTTGGCGGGTGGGGGGGAACGCTTTCAACGGTAGGACCAAGATGGCGGCGCCCAGCCCCGCGGCGGTTGCTGCTGCTGCCGCCGCCGCCGCCGATGCCCCGGAGAACGAGAGCGGCGCCCTGGCGACCAAGCCGAAGTCCCCGGCCATCACCCCGCAGAAGGTGCGGGAGCTGATCGACGAAGGCATCGCCCCGGAGGAAGCCGGGCAGGACAGGTGAGCGAGGAAGGACGGAGCCCGCCCGACTCCAGCCAGCATGGCTTCATCTCCGGCGGGCGGTGGCGGTTGCGGGCCGGAGGAGAGGCGGGTTCTGGGCCTGGGGGGCGGGGGCGGTGTTGGGAGGGATTGGGTGAGGGGAAGGGGCTGGGGGTTTATGGGGGAGTTTCATTGGAGAAGGGGTTTTTCTATGGTCTAGGTGGGGTAGGGGCTGGGATAGAACTAGGTGACCGGGAGTTCTAGTCCCGCCTTAGGCATAAAAGCTCGCTGGGTGACTTTGGGCCAATCACCTGGAGACGGTGAGTTCTAGTCCCACCTTAGGCGTGAAAGGCAGCTGGGTGACTGAGCCATTCACCAGGAGACTGTGAGTTCTAGTCCCACCTTAGGTGTGAAAGATGACTGGGTGACTTTGAGCCAATCACCTGGAGACGGTGAGTTCTAGTCCCACCTTAGGTGTGAAAGCCGGCTGGGTGACTTTGGGCCAATCACTGGGAGACGGTGAG